CTGCAGGTAGATCTGTTAAGTGTGGAGCCTTGAGTTCTGGGGATTATAGGAAAAGGAGCCCTGTGCCACCATCTCCTGGTAAAATAAAGGAATGGCCATGGCAAATTCTATCTCATTTTGAAACTAGGAAGAACAGTAGCCTCCTGGCTTGCTATTACTCTGTTGGTAGGAACTTCAATTTTCTTGTTAAGTTTTAGCACCAGGTTTGGTGAAATGCTGCACTTGAACAGACTGCTGTCACACAGAAGTGAGGGTTTGGTGTCATGGTGGGTAGCAGATCAGCTCAGTATTGGGGAGGAGGCAAATTAAGTATTAGAAATTACTGGGATAGAAAAAAGTAAAAAACCAGTAACAAATAATCATACCACAGTCTAAATCTGCAGACCATCCACACGTGGTCCTATGACAACAGAAGGATAAATGAGAAAATCTAGAAAATCTTTAGAAAAAGGTGGTGAGGTTAATCATAGGTATGGAACAGCTCCTGTTCGAGGTGAAAGATCTTCAACCTGAAAAAGAGACCATTTGGAAGGCATAAAGAAGGCAAAATGAGACTATTTTTCATTACCACATCTAATGCCAGAGCTACAGACCATCACATGAAGCAGATGTAGGAGCTCAGTTCAATGCCTATACAAAGAGGTGGTTCTGCACGCAGTTGGCAGTATATGTGGAGTGGTACATTGCAGGGTGATGCTGCAATTCCAAAGGTGTGCCAGCACTCTAGTTGTTCCTCTTGTGTTCCCAGCACAGAGAAGTTCCAGATGATCAATGTGGCTTTTCTAAAAGGTGTGTCTTCATTCACAATGCAGCCTATAAATATAAGCTTGCTGGGAAGATATTCAATACTTTGTTTTTCCATTTCATGTTGTGTCTGTTATGTATTTCACAACAGTGACTCCTACTAAGGAACCCTTCTTTCAGGGAGCCCAGATTGCTGGTGGACTGAGGAAAGGCAGGACCTAGGTGCAAATGTAGGGTGTCTGGTTGGACGCAGATGAGGAATGGGGAAGAGTCTGGGAATGGGAACTTACAGGACAGAATAAGAGGGTTCCACCACCTATTGTGGACCTTTCAGTATAGCATATAAGCTTTTTTTTTTTGACATGAGGAAAATGGGATTGACTTTTGTGTTTAAAGAGCTGTGAAGATGATGAAGGTGAAGCAGCTTGTATTTGTTCCTCATGCATCTCCTCCTGGTGCCCCCCTGCACAACAGACCTGAGCTGAAGCACCTTCTGTTTAGCCTCAGCTCAAAGAGAGAGAATAAAAAAAGTCCTTGACCTCTCAGCCATCTTCTGTAATGCCAACCTCAGACTTTTCCTACTGAGTGAAAAAGTGAGCTAATATAATAGGAAAGGTTAGAAAAGACCTGTGTTTACCTGAGTAAGATGGACAGGCTCCCTATTATAGGCTGCAGAAAGCCAAGTGTTGTGTCCTTCCATTGCACTGGCACTCTCCACAGAAAGTGCTCTCTGTGCATGAGGACCAAGTGCTATTTGAATTTTTTTCCAGTCTGATATTAAGTGACGTAAAAATATTTTACACCTGAGAATCACTATCAGGTGTAAATGAAAGGAAAAAATAGTATATTAAAAGTAAAGCAAAGAAATAAATTGATTAGGCTGTAAACACCAAGGTTGAGAGACATTAACTCTTTCAGAGAATCTGCCATCAGAATAGAATACGTCATTTTACTTTACTTCGTATCAGAATGGAAAAAAAAATCCTCATTTTACTAGCCTTTAGTAAAAAAATGGTTTAAAACAATTACATATAAAATCTGCAATTTTTCAATCCTTAAATCCTTCAATCCTCAAAGCTCTTAAAAATGCTTTGATGTTATTATTGTTATCAAAATATCACAACTACTTTGAGACAGCATTTCTTTCTTTTTTTTTTGTTTCAATTCAAATCACTAAGCATTAATTATTATTGCCACGGGTTCTGATTTAGCAAAGATAATGATGAAATTATTATCTTTAGCGGAACCACTCACACATTGCTCATATGACTAGAATTAATAACAATTCCACATCTTGTGCGATCATTTATCATATTAAAAAACAACTCCTAGGGCCTGTGTTTCTTCTTCTACTTGAATTGCCCTCAGGGGGCAATGCAAGTTTCCTGTCTACCAGGCTTGTGAATGTATTATTAGATTATTACTAGTTCATCTTTTTCCAGTACCATGGGTACTTACAGATTTGTGTGCGTGTGTATTTACATGTAAATATGTCTTTCACAAAGTATCTTCATAATTTACACTGTATTCCTTTTGAAGTTTGTATTTGATAAACATATCTGCCAGATGACATTCTCCTGCATATGGTTCAGCAGTAAGTAACAATGCAAACATGAGCAGGCTATATCCACAAAGTAAAATCTTTTTGGTTTGAAATATATCTTGTGTTCACTTTACTTCAAATTTTATATTTAAAATATTTAAAATATTTTATATTTTATAATTTAAATATATTAATTTCTTGAAAACAAATGAAGCAAAACTATCAGCAAAGAAAGAGCATATCTGAGTTCCCTGCTAGAGAAGTGCAAGTTAAACTGGAGTCTATAGTTAATGGGAAATGAGAAGCATCTTCTAAGTTTCATCTGGAATACAGTTAATTTTCTTCATAGTAGCTGGAATTAGGCTATCCTTTGGATTCGTATTGAAAACTGTTGATAATACAGAGATGTTTTAGTTCTTGCTGAACAGCACTTAGATAGAGCCAAGGTCTTTTCTCCCTCTGACCCTGCCAGTGCTGGGGGTGCCCAAAGAGTTGTGAGGGCATACAGCTGGGACAGATGACTCCAAGAGACCCAGTGAGTAGTTCATACCATATGGCATTGTGCTCAGCATGTAAAGCTGAAGGAAGAGGGAAGAATGTTTGGAATGATAACATTTGTCTTCCCTGTTTACAGTTCACTGTGATGGAACCCGTTGTCGACATGGATAATTGGCATAATTCTAGGAACATTTGTAAGAGTTGTCTGTATTAAAACTCAGCAGTTTAACATTGCTGAGAAGGTACCCTCCATCTTCCTGTCAGGTTGCAATTTTTAATTAGTTAATTTAATTTAATTTAATTTAATTTAATTTAATTTTTTTTATTCTCTTCAATATCTTAGCCAGGTAGAATATTATGCATGAAAATGAAATAAAAGTAAAGCTATAAAGGCAAGAAACCTCAGAAAACAGAAAAGAATAAGTGTTGTCTGTCTTGGAGGATAAAGAAGGAATTAGGTGGAACCCAGAAAATTAAATCCTTTCAATGAATTAGTTATTTGCTGACCATATGGTAATACTGAATTGTTGTCTCATGATGTAGTCAATCTGTAAATCATAGTTTCATGATGTCCTCAAAGCTATGGAACTTAATAAATATGTTTTTGCTATTGTAAGCAACATAAATTTATCTTTTTTTTATGTGGTATTAGATAGCAGCAAAAGGTATCTTGAAATGGAACTGCTTCCAGAATCTCCGAGCCTGATAAATATACCTTTGATTAAAAACTGAAGAAAATAGCAAGGACTAATGAACAAAGGAAAAAGAAATTTGATTCTCAGCAGAGGTTGTGTATATCTATGTTATTCTTTAAAGAGAAGAGATACTACAGCATTTCAGCGCAAGTATGAGGTGTTGCATGACTCTCCAGTCAAAAAGGAGTCATCCTTCAGGCCATCCCTTCATTTATGTCCTTTCTGCCTCCCTGTTAATAAACAAGTTGATCTCTGTTAATGAAGATTAAGGATTATTGGTATGTTTGCAGAGCTTGCTAAACTGGAAACACTCAAGTTCCTGTTTTCCATCTTGTAAATCTTATTCACTGTTTTGTAAGCTATAATAGGCCAGTGACCACATGCATTGCTAGATACTTTGACAGTTCATAATCAAGTTGTAATTAGTGGACAATGGTTCAGTGATTTATGGATTATGAATTATGGATCTTAACCTCACTTTAAAATCTGATGGTGGCCATCAACTTTTTGGGTTGATGGTAATGTGGAATAAATGGGATGTAGATTGCATATATTACATCTACATGATGGAAATGACACTATGACTGCTTAGTAGAACACCAAAACCATCCTACTCAACGGAGGGGAGTACAATAGGGGCAATCAGATCTGTTTAAAAAGTTCATTTCCTGCCTTAGTTTCTCCTTCTGTGATTTGTCTATATATTATGTTCAACCCTGAATATCATCCAGTGATGCCAGCAAATCTTTTTTAAGACCTTCTGGATGAAAGGTGAATTGGCAACTTGTTTTGGTCCTCCTGATGTCCGCTTCAGTTGCATATGATACAGAAGGCTAACCCAAGGAAACAAGGTACTCAGTGACCACATTTCCCTTTGCAGTCAGTCTCTGGTGCCATCAAAAATGCTGTTTCTTAGCAGTGGTGCTTTTGTTGTATATTTTCTAAAAAGCCAAGGGAAAACTCTTCACCAATTCCCCAAATACTCAGACGCAGGTGATGACAAAGAAAGACTAAACAACTGTCTTGACTATAAATGTCTTACTAGACTGATAATGTCATAAGTTATTCTTGTTAGAAACCTAGAGACCATTCACCAATCAGTGCCAGTCTGCCCTCCATAAGAAAAGCCCTGAAACCATTAAACAAGATGTCAAAAGCAGTGAGGCAAAAGGGCTTTCGAAGTCCAAACCCTGTTTTGAAATCCTGAGACAGAGGTTACAGTTCCCAGGACGAAGTGAAGAGGACATTCTGGGAGGGACACTGCACTCCTGCATGAGCTGTGCTGACTCAGCTGGACCTGGGCAAGGAGTGGCCTTCACACAATGTCACAGCTTTCAACTTCAGCCCCAAAGGGTATGGCTGTGGCTCTCCTACCAGAAACCCACAACAGCAGGGTTCTCCTGTCAATCCTCAAGTATGGACGCAACAGGAGATACAGCTCTTGCTCTGTTCCCTCTTATCCGTAGCCCCCTCACCCAGCACTGTTGGCATGTGTCTGGTTTGGACAAATTATCCAAAATATCCATGTCATTACTGCTTGTTGTGCATCCTCACTGGCAATTTTGTTTGAACTAATTAATGATTAACAGGTGTGCTCTGCATGACACTGTTCAATGGCACTGAAGAAAAGAAGGAGCAGATAAGACCAAATGGATGCATCAAGATCCTTTTTGTAGCTCTGTAAGTACCCTTCTAGTTTTCTCTTGGATTATTTGGACATTGAATTTTGGGGAGTTACACTGTTGCCTGTGAAAGGCGTCTTTTTATATCTAAACAAGGGGATATAAGACGAAAAAGTCGAAACATTTCAAAAGCCAGAAAGAACAGATAGTGAAGAAGGCACTTCACGTAGTTAAATAAAAATTTAGTGTGGAAACAATACAGATGCCTATAGACTTTCTTAGCACATTGACCTGGTATTTCATCTTCGAAGAAATTGTAAGAGTATTTTGAAATTTTGTTTCTAAGCAGTATGATCCATGTTTTTGTCCCATTTTTGTTTAACACAGATTTCATTTTCTATTTGATGAATTGAGGAAGGCTAACAGGGCTGCAGTAGCCATCCCACAGTATTGAGTACAAAACCAACTTCTGCCAGTTACTCTGGGGAAAAGGTCATAAGCTTCCAGTTATTTGAAATTTTTTTAAAATATCAGTCTTAGCTTAGGACTGTGAATATGCTAACATTAAATTTAATAAACTTTTAGGAGTTTAAAATTACCTCTTTTTAGAGAGAACTAGGCTATGTAAATAGTGTATTAGCAGGTATATTCTTTCTAGGTGATGCACTGACATGCAACAGGAATGTGAATTATAAGTGTGTGGGAAAACAAAGTATGTTCTGAGAGCCTCATTTTACTTTGCTGAAGCATGAAGAGATTAATTTCCATGCCATATTTTGTACATCTATTTCTTTTCCAGAAACTGCTAAAAGGAAAATGAAGCCCACCTTCTCCTTGTGTCTGTTGCTGGCTGGTTTGTATGCTGTTGTCCAGTGTCATCAGCGCCCTCACTACCGCAATAAGCAGGATGATGCTAAAGGGACATATTATCCAGGACATAATTCTCAGTGGGAAGGAGCTTATCCAGTTAAGAACAAAACCTTTGTCAAACTAGTTCTCAGCAATGCTGACTTTGCATTTTCATTTTACAAGCTGGTCGCATCCGAAGCAACAGTTCAAAATATTTTCTTTTCACCCATAAGCATCTCTGCTTCCTTTGCAATGCTGGCACTCGGTGCCAAGTCAGCAACACTGACACAGATTCTGGAAGGGCTTGCCTTTAACCTGAAAAAGACTCAAGAGACAGAAATACATGACAATTTTTGCCAACTCCTCCACATGCTGAACCGTTCAGACAGCGAGTTCCAGCTGAGCCTGGGAAATGCCCTTTTTATAGAAGAGACTCTGAAACCAGTACGGAAGTTCTTGGATGATGCCAAAAGCTTTTATGAATCTGAAGTCTTTTCTTCTGACTTTAACAACTCTGTTGGCACTGAGAATCAGATCAACAGTTATATTGAGGAAAAGACAAATGGGAAAATTGTTAAGCTAGTGGAAAATATTGATCCTCTCACTGCAATGGTTCTTGTTAACTATGTCTTCTTTAGAGGTAAGAAATATCAAAGGGTGCAAAGGCTGTAGATTAGATATTTAATGCTTATTGCAGGGAATGAAAATTTAAGAGAAAGAAACTGTAGTTTAAATGTTTTAAATTGAGAAAATCATGATCAGTATCTGAAAAGTCGTGCTATAAACCCAGCTATTTATATTGACAGTAAAAATGTGTCCTCACTTGGTTTAGTGAAATTTTAATACAAATATCTTCCCTGAGTTTTTTAATTCTTTGATGTGATCACAGACTCATGTTCCAGTGAAAGATGGTGTTTTCAGTATTGTCTGTCTGCAATTGTTTCTAAGCACTTACGAAAAAAAAAAAGATACAACGCTATAACATCTGAGGATGCAGCAACAGGAAAAAATTTGCTCTAATCAAAGGAAGGCTGTGGGACTAAATCCTGTTTTATACTCTGTGACCATTCCTCTTTGTATTCCACTGAATAAATTTCCTTTTTGTCATAAGCTCACTGGGAGAAACCCTTCAGTACATTATACACAAGAAAGGAGGATTTTTTTGTGGACCAGAAAACATCTGTAAAAGTTGACATGATGTATCGAAAGGGTTACTACAGAAATTACTTTGATGAAGAGCTGTCCTGTTGGCTGGTTCAGATACCTTACAAAGGAGATGTTGCAGCATTATTTGTTTTGCCTGACGAAGGGAAGATGAAGCAGGTGGAAGATGCTCTCTTGAAAAAGACTGTATCTAAATGGGAAAAGTTCCTCCAAGACAGGTAAGATTTTTTTGCTAAGGTAAGAGGTGACCACGCCACAGATTTTTATCTCACCAAGACAAAGCAATACAGGCTAGGTTATTGAACTCTATACAGTTACTGGTCCTCTGTGTAGACTTCCCTTTTCTTAGCTGGAAAATGAAAAAGAGCTGTGGCTAGTGAAGAAGTAGGGCATTGAACTTGGGATCCATCTTCAGTTATGTTCCTGGTTCAACCAAAAGTTACTTAGCAACATGATCAAGTTAACAGACCCTTGTTTCCTACAAGCATTGGGAAACTATAATAGAGAACCTGTTGGATGTTAGTGTGTTATGGATAATGTATGTAAAAGCAGACTAATTCACCATTACTGCAGCTATTTCTGTGGTGGCCCAGGCCCTGCTGTATGTTTGAACAGCCTTAGGGCAGCTAAATATGATCTTTTGAAAAAACCCTCCTACTTGGCAGTAGTAGCTCTGCCTGTCCCTGAGCTGGCATAGCTGTGTCTTCCCCCCAACTCCTTGAACCCCACTGTGGAGGCAGGGGATAACAGGCTCATTCTGCTCCAACCCTCCACTTTAGGTAGCTAATCCGATCATAACTGGTATCTGGACCCTGAGAGAAGACTATTTACATTTAGAAAAACAAATGTGAAGTGTCAATTTACTGAAACCATTGAGGATTATTACCTACATGACAATTTGCTTGTATTTGTGTTTTGCTACAGAAAAATACATCTGCACATTCCAAAATTTTCTATTTCTGGTACCTATGATGTGAAAAGGATAGTTAAACAAATGGGTATGATCGATCTGTTCACTGACCAAGCTGATCTGTCTGGGATTACTGAGGAGCCTGGACTGATGGTTTCAAAAGTAAGTAAGCATAAGAAAGCAGCCACAATATTTGTCTGTTCCAAGGAACCTGACATTAATATTCCAGGAAAAACTTATCCCAGTCTCTCTGAAGCACCAGTCAATCATCAGCAGCTGCCAGTCTGGAGGCAAAGCAAGCCCTATCTTTCATAAACCTGAAGCCAAACATGCGTACAAGGAGTTAGAAATGCATGGTTCCAGGACAAGGAAGAAGACATACATGTAATTAAATGTTCTTTTGGCTACTAAACAAAATTATCTAAATGTAGCACATTAGTTTTGGTAAAAATTCCTCTAATTCCTCCTGCAGAGGGCAAAAGGCTATTATTCCTCCCCTTCTAGTGTTCTCCAAAAGTTATTTTTTTCAACGAGATGACAGGGTAAATTCACAATAATACATGAAGCTGCCAAAGACAAAATTGAGTCTAGGCTAAATTACCAGGTTTCTTTCCTTCCAGAGTTTCTTGCCATCAGTAATCTTGACTGCTCCTTGGCTGCCTGCAGTTTGAGGGTTACTTTCTGCACATGCAATGATGGCTGTTGGCACTGCAGTGGGAAGGGGAGCAACTGGTGATGACCTTCCCAGAGGCTGCTGCTGCTGGATCTCGCTCCAGGCAGGGTTCCCTTTCCCAAGAGTGAAGAGGGTGGCAGACTGCTCTCTTCTGGCTGGATTGTCATCTGGAGGCCCTTTTGCTTTGTTCCTTGCAGGTGATTCACAGAGCCATGCTGAATGTTCATGAGAATGGCACTGAAGCAACAGGAGTCACAGTGATGGAGATTACCTGGAGATCTGGTGATTTTCCTCGTCCTCCCCGAGTCAAATTCAACAGGCCCTTTCTCCTGGTGATTCTGGATAAAGTCACCCACACTGTCCTCTTCATCGGGAAAATTGTAAACCCTCAGAAAAATGACTGATTGACAAGACTTCAGCACACCACTGCCTAAATCCCTATGATCCTGTGAAACACTTACGTATGGATACCACTATGTACTAGTGCTCATCTTTCAACTATTACCCTTATAAACATAATCATCCCTTAAAACATTAAAACTATTTTTCCTTGTCCAAAAGTCCCTTGTATTTGCCCCAGCCTACAGCTGAGTATCGCTTGTAGTGTTAATGAAATACAAGTAACTTTTCACCAGTTTTGTGGGATGCCCTTTCTGATAAGCTCTTTTGGGGTATTCAGGTTTTTCAAAATCTCCAGATGATGTAGCTGTTGCTGTACAATCATGGTTTGTGCCTGTGAGAGGAGGAGAAGGGAAACAGGGAAAATGAGGTACAAGGTGTAAGATCTCTCTGCTTAATCCACTAACCTTTGATGATTATTCTTAAATATAGATCCCCTTAATATTGGAGTGAATTTTAATTCATTTTTTCAGGTTTTGTAACCAAGTATGGCATGAAACTGTGGGATCAGTGACTGGGACACTGGAGGTCACCCCAGTGTAAAGAGTTGATGAGTGCAGTTGTTTCAGCTTACCTTCCTCTGTCTCCTCTTCAGTGACAGCCTTCCTCATGGAGACAAGAAGGTTGCTTTTTCTTCACAGATAATGTTTATTCTACTAGAGAAAGAAATCATAGCAGCACAAAGACTTCTGTTTTATCTTGCTAATATAGCTATTGTTGCCAGTGCCTTGAGATAAAAGTCTGATGGAGCAGTCTATGACATAGGACCAGTTCTCCTTTTATGGATTTGTTGTCACTGTAATTTCTCTTTCCTTCTACTAATGCCACCTTCACTATCACACTTTCAAGCTAGACTTGTCAGACTGTGGTAGAAAAATGGGGGAATGAAAAATTATAGCTCCAGAGAGTTTGTATTTCCTCAGTAGGGACAGCAGAGCTTTCCTAGGGATTGTTAACCTGCTTTAAGTTATCATAAACACGCATAAAAAATTCAGAAAATATTTGAGAAGTCACCTTTCTAAATGTTAGTGGTGGATTACTGTTATAGAGTAAAAACAGACTGTGAATTGATTTTTGTACCTTTCCTGAGTCCAACTACACTAGATAGTTACACAAAACAGTAAATTTTTTTTTTTAGATTGTTTTTTTTTTTAATCAACATCCTTAGCACATCTTATTAAAATACAGAAAGGCAATGAAAGCATTTAGATTATGACTGTCTTTTTTTATACGATAACTCAAACTGGTATTAAAACTCTAAATGACAAGTTTTTAGGTCTTAGTTTCTTAAGATGTCTGTGAAAAATATAACAAAAATGATGGTGAATATTTCTAAAATAAAGTTTTTGTTTTGTTTGGGGATCTTTGTTTTCTTTGATGTTAAGTTAATGTTATCAGTATGAGTAAACTGTTGCTGTAAGAATACCAACAAGGAATAGAAAAAACATTCCATGTCTACCTGTGGACATGTAACACTTGACATTCAAAGTCTTCTTCAAAAATCATATAAACCAATGACAAAAGTTTCTTACTCATAACTATGTTTAGTATGTTTGGTATTTAGTAACAAACAGTTGGTTTCATATCTCTGGACATATTAGGACTTGATCTTGGTCTAATATAGATAAACTGCTTCTAAAGATGATCATTTAAAAGTTCCTTGCAAATCTCAGGGCTAACTCAGGACGAATTGCCAAAGTCCATCTTTGCAATGACAAATGACTCTGTAGGCAAATATCAAGAGACTATGTTTGTTGTTCCTCACGGACCTCAGATCAATAGTCTCCGTTTGTTAGTAGGAAAAAAGTATCCAGATGGTATTTTGCCAACCACATCTCACTTTGAGAGGTAACCTTGTTGCTTAACCCATTTGAAAGTGGGTAGAGAAAAATCAGAACTGGAAAACTGAAAAATATCATGGTAGGGAATCACCTTCAGATGGGAGTAGGAACCATACATGAATTGCCTTGGTTTTCTTTCTAATTTGGCAAAAATCTGGTCATGTCCCTCACTGGAAAAATGCAACAAATATTTTAGTAAATAATAGGCACAGAAGGATTGCACAACCCCCCCTCAAACTGTCAGCATTAAGGTTGTCCCAAATCCATTGCAGTCGTGGTTTGGTCAGGACAGCGTTTCTTCTTTCAATCTGCTGGATCTTTGCATCTTCTTTCCTGGATTTTTGTTTCTTGGTTGGCTCTCTGATTATGAACTTTGTAACCAAGAAGTCTCAGTGCAGCCAAGGAAGGACTTTGTTCCTAGCTCCTCAAGAGCTGCTGCTGCTGCATGCAAGTACTTTGATGGGCCACTTCAATGCAGTGTCATTGCTGGAGGATGGAGCTGGTCTGATGAACCACATAAGGGATAAAGTGCAAAGGACATCTTCTAACCCAGCCTGCATTGATGTCTACACACAAATCTGATATGGCAGTGCATGCAGCCATGCACAAGCAGGAGCTGCAGCCTATGTGGACCCTAAGGGAAATCTGTTATGCAGGGTTGAAAGCAATCTTTTGTGAAGGTTGTTTTAGGTTAACAGCCAGAAAGGAAGAATTGCCAATATGGCAGAAGCTTTGGAACAGAACGCACTGAGCAGCTCTCAGAAATAAGGAGAAAAGGAAAACAAGCAGTGTAGAAATAGTAGCAAACTGTATTCATTGTCATAACTAGGAAATAGAAGTGGAACAAAGGCTAAAAACACAAATGAGAAGCTCTGAAACCCAGATTAATCCATAGTGGTGGTAGATTTAACTGTCATGTACAAACTATGTCAAGTTCAACAGAGACTGGAAGAAAATCAGCAGCAACTTTGAATAGTGTTTAAGATCATAAAGAAGGAGCAAGTATGGGGGCAGAGAGGGAAATAGCATGCTTGAAGTAAATCAAAGAAAATAACATATTTCAAATAGCCACTGATTAGAGCCAGTACGCAGGTCTGTCATTGTTCCCAGTGTTGTGCAGTATCCACTAGGAGGAAACTAAAGGCATATAACAGAAACAACAACCTTAAGGTCATGGTCTGAAAAGCAAATTGCATAATGTGCTGAAAATATCTTCTAATGCTCTGCTGAATGGACAAAACAAGGAGGGACAGAATTTGGGTGGTTCAGCCTGGAGAAAAGAAGGCTTTGGGGTGACCTAATTGCGGCCTTGCAGTACCTGAAGAGAGCCTATAAGTGATAGAGAGAGACTGTTTACGAGAGCATGTCATGACAGGACAAGGGGCAATGGCTTCAAACTGAAAGAGGACAGGTTTAGATTGGATATTAGAAAAAAATTGCTTACTCTGAGGGTTCTGAGGCACTAGAACTTGTTGCCCAGAGAAGCTACGGATGGCCCATTCCTGGAAATGTGCAAGGTCAGGCTGGATGGGGCCCTGAGAAAACCTGATGTAGTAGAAGGTGTCCCTGCCCACGGTACAGATTTGGAACTACATGATCTTTAACATTCCTTCTAACCCAAAACATTCTGTGATTTTATGATGTAATGTATTTAATTTTGTTTTTCAACAGTCTAGCAATTGTCACACAATTAATAATTAACAGATATTCCTGGGCAATACTAAGCTAATTTATCAGCTCTAAAAGAACTTGGTGATTAATCAGGGTTGAAAACCTGACTACTATTGCCACTAGGAACTTGGCAGCTATGAAGGTGCCATGGCCAAAATCTGCACAGCCAACATCCACCAACTGCAAACCACAATAACCTCTAGGTTCAGCAAGTCCTCGTGAGAGACATATTCCTCAAGGCAGTGCTCTCCTGTGACCTTCAAAGGGCATTGGTAACCCCAAATAGCACATGCATACTCCCGGCATGTCAAAATGAGTTACCAGCAGCACAATCACCTGTGCTCAGGGACACTTGAGCAGCAGTTCAGAGCCCCATCTGGACCTGGAAACTCTATCAGTCTGGAAAGGAGGGGCATTGCCAGGAACATCCATGGGAGATTTAAATGGCTCTAGGGAGCACAGAAACCAGGGCATGGTGCATCAGAAGGATGTGGTGCAGCAGTTGGTGAAGGCAAGATGTGTGGAAAGGGTGCTGAAATCTTCAAGTAGGCCCACAGCTGAGGTAAGTGCTAAGCGCTCTAGGTCTCTGCCATAATGGTGAGCACTCACCTCAGAGCAAAAACCAGTGTGTCTACTCATACAGCCACTAAAAAGGCTGTTGCTTCCACCCAGATGGAACTGGTAAGGAAGGAGATGTAGGTACAGGTAATAGCTTGCAGTGGATGCCCAGATACTTTCACTGGAGGAAAGGCTACCTGCACAAAACATGCACAGGTTGATAACCTGTTGTGGCATGTGGATGAATTACAAGAGCCAGTATCACCATCAGTATCAGAGTGGCTGAAACATAACATGGCTTCAGAACCACACACCTACCATGGATACTACTGAGCTTTAGATGCCTTGGATCCTGATGACACAGAAAAGCAGGGCTCCAATCCAGTGTCCACTCTCTGTCATCCAAGATCAAAACCAGATATGTTTTAAAGACTTTGGATGTCCACAAGCAAGACCAACAAGGAGAATCTGCACGAGCAGTTCACAGTGGTTACCATAAAAATAAATGTTGAGTGACCACAGCAGGCAACTATCTATGAAGGGGCACTGAGGCACCCACCTGCCAGCCTGATAGAAGAGTCACAAGGAGTATGCTGCCTACTAGGTGCTAAGATACATGATGTTGTAGACAGAGTACCCCAACTTGTCAAGAACATGGTCTCCTACCCACTACTACTTTTTCACATGGATACAAATGACACCGCAAGGCAAAAAAAGGCCATGATCAAGGAAGACTATGACACCCCGGTGAGGTAGGTGAAAAAAAATGAGTGCCCAAGTCATCTTCTCATCTATCCTACTGGTCAGAGAAATGGGGGCAGTCAGAAGCAGGCACACAGTGCAGATCAATATCTGGCTTCATGGCTGGTACCATCAAGAAGGTTTTGGCTTTTATGTCAGTAGGTTGTACTTTAATGATTTTAGCCTGACTAAAATGAGTAAGAGAATTTTTGGCAGCAGGCCAGTTTGGTGACACAGTCTTTAAACTTAAGGACTCAGATGATGGAGTCTAAAGGGGCAAAGCTCCTGCCACTGCTTCCTTCTAGGGAGTACGCCATACTAGCCAGCGCAGTAACAGATGTTCCTTGACTGCCTCTTAAGATGAGAATCATTGAGCTGGCCACACCAAGGGTATTTATGGCTATGGTGAATCCTCTTACACCCCTCCTAGGGAACCTGCATGCTTGATTACCTCTCTGAAGTGCCTGTACACAAACGCATGCATAAACAAGAAAAACTAGAAATCTATGTGTGGTCACAGGGCCATGTTCTCACTGCAGTTACACAGACATGGTGGAGTAGGGATAGTTCACATGACTGGAAAATTGTTACAGATAGTTATGTACTTTTTTGAAAGGACAGCTCAGCAAGGTGAGGTGGCAGAGTTGCTCTTTATGTGAGAGAGCAACTGGAATGCATTGAGTTCTACCCAGGGACAAAAGAGATTATCTGGATAAGAATTAAGGGACAAGGTAATATGAATAACACTGTTGTAGGTGTTTACTACAGGCCACCTCATCAGGAGGAGGAAGTTGATGAGACAGCTGTAAATAGCTTTATATAGACAGCTGTAAATAGCCTTCCAGTCACAGACCCTGGTTCTTCTGGGAGACATAAACCACCCTGATATTTGTTGGAGGGACAACACGGCTCAGCATACACAGCCCAGGAAGTTCCTGCAGATCACTGAAGAAAACTTTTTTATGCAAGTGGTGGAGGTGCCCATGAGGAAAGGCGTGTTGTTGGACCTTGTACCAACAAACCAGAAGGAACTGTTTGAAGACATGAAGGCTGGGGGCAGCCGTGGCTGTGGGGACTATGAGTTGATGGAACTCAGGATCCTGCATGGAGGAAGCAAAGCAGTAAGCAGGACTAGAATCCTAAACTTATGAAGAGCTAACTCGAACTTCTTCAAAGACCTACTTAGAGAAATCCTGTAGATTAGGGCTCTAGAAGAGAAGGAGGTCCAAGAGAGGCGGTCAATATTCAAGCAACAGTTCCTCTAAGCTCAAGACCAGTGCACCCACATGATCAAGAAATCAGGCAAAGGGGTCAGGAGACCTTCGTGGATGAGCAGGGAACTTCTAGTAAACCTCAAGTGAAAGAAGGAAATTTATGAAATGTGGAAAAAGGGATAAGCCATGTGGGAGGACTATAGGAACATCATCAGAGTATGGAGGGATGTGACAAGGAAGGCCAAAGTCCACTTAGAATTGAGTCTGGCAAGGGATATCAAGGACAATAGGAAAAGCTTCTGCAAGTACATCAGCAGCAAAAGGAAGATTAGAGAAAATGCAGGGCCATTGCTGAATCAGATCGGTATCCTGGGAATGGAACACAGAGAGAAGGCAAAATTACTGAATGCCTTCTTTGCCTCAATCTTTACTGCTGAGATCCAATCTCAGGAGTCCCAGACATTAGAGGGAAAAGAAGAATGTTAGAGAAAGGAGGACTTCTCTCAGATCATAGAGGGTTGAGTTAGAGATCGGCATGACAGATTAATACCCATAAATCCATGGGCCCTGATGGGATGCATCCATGAGAGCTAAAGGAGCTGATAGATGTTGTTTCTAAGCCATTCTCCTTCATCTTTGAAAAATCAAGGAGAACACGAGAGGTGCCTGATGACTGGAGGAATGCCAGTGTTACTCCCATCTTCAAACATGGCAAGAAGGAGGTCCCAGGAAATCAACGTCCAGTCAACCTCACCTCACCCTGGAAAGGTGATTGAATGGATCATTCTGGAGATCAACACCAAGTATGTACAAGAAAAGAAGGTCATTGGGAGTAGTCAAGTCAGAAGGAATTCACCCAGGGGAAATCATGCTTCAGCAATCTGATAGCCTTCTGTGATGGCATGGCAGGGTAGATCAGTGAAGACAGAGCAATGGATGTTGTCTACCTCAACTTCTGTGAGGTCTCCCGTAACATCCTCTTGGTAAGCTCAGGAAATGTGGGTTAGATGAATGGACAGTGAGGTAGATCAAGAACTGGCTGAATGGCAGAGGGCAGGGGGTCATGATCAGCAGAGCAAAATCCTGTTGGAGGCCTGTAGTGAGTGGCATTCCCCAGGGATCAATACTGGGTCCAGCCTTATTCAACTTGTTTATCAATGACTGAATGCTAAAAATAAGCCAGAAAGTGATGCCCATGGAAAGAGAATAAAGGGAAATTACTTAGGTGAGAAGATTTAACACTGAACTTTTCACCTCCATCAGTTAGATGGAGGGTACAGGCTCTGACTTATGCAAGTGCAACTACACTACTCCTTCTCCATTGCTTGGAGTTCAAATGTTGGCTGGATGTCACATGCTGGTTACATAGAGCCCTAAAAGCTTTAAAACTTGGAAACACTCAGAATAAAGATTCTGCCCTTCAGTTTCCACTCCTGTGTTATTTTATGTGACACTTTCACAGAATCAGAATATTCCCAGTTCTCTAATTTGTCAAGGCCTTTTTGCAGGTCCTCCTTGCCTTCGAGGGAGTCAACAGCTTCTCTGGGTTTTGTGTCATCTGCAAATTTGCTTAGTATCCCTTTCAGTCCTGTGTCCAAGTCATTTATGAAGATGTTGAAGAGCACAGTTGGAGCCTTGTGGAACCCCATTAGTGAGAGGCCAGCAGTCTGATGTTATCCCATTCACTATTACCCTCTGTGCTCAACCAGCTGTGTGCTGGACAGAAGGATTTATTTGCATAGTCATTTGTTTAGGTACTTTCATGGATATATAAGGCTTCAAGTTTTTTACTCTGGCATGTCTTTGAGTCTTTGGGATTGGCTTTTGACCTTTCTTCCCCAAGGCAAGCTCATGTGTAGGAGCTGGCAGCTGATGTGACACAATCACTTCTTGCTCCTTCTTCCTTATTTCTGGGAGTATGAGGGGCTCTCTCTGCACCAAACCATGCAGCAATTGTAGAGCATCACAGCAAAAGAAGCTTCTTTTCTGAGACATATTTACATCTGTTCTAATTGCCACCCCAGTATCTGCTCAAAGACTGCTCCCTGCCAAGCTCACCGAGATGATGACTACCTCTCTTTTTGGTTATGTAGATCTGATATGCTAGATTTAAACCCAACGTTTAGTTCGGGCATCCAACTCATTCAGTACAGTCCTATGAATCATAAATGAAACTCAGAGCTATTCCAATTTAAGATGACTCACTTTTTGGCTAGTTTTTGGATAATATAATGTGGTGGTTCCTTAAAGAAATAATTCACTTTCTTTACTAAAAAAAGAAATTAAGAAAAAGACAGAGGACAAAAGCACAGCTGGGGTAAACAGATGTAGTTTTAATTCTTGCTCCTTTAAAAAAAGTATCTTTTCTGTAGCTGTATAGCTGTACAGATGAAGGTACTACAGATATACATCTTAATTTAACACAGGAAAATTAAAAGAACAAATTCGTTTAGAGGCAGTAAGAGTGGTCAGATATGCCCCCTATTTATATTTTTTAATGTTAAAGACTATGTTTATCTAGTTTCTTTTTTACTGACTGATTCCCCAAAATGTTCTTCCCCTGATCCCCCAAGAAATCCAAACTCATTTTCTTTCCAAGGCACTCCAGTTGGATGTGGTATGTGTGCTTTGGATGGAGATGGAATTTGGGTGGGGGAAGAAGATGAAAGGTCAGAAGAAGTTTAAGGGGAAAACAGCCTCTCTAAACACTTCAGTATTCATGGAGTTTGGCAACACTGAACTAACCACTGAGACCTAAGCCTTGTATCTCATTTCTGTGGGTAAAAATGAGGAATTATTTTTGGCACTCTGTGGATTTTAGGAGTGTTCCAGTCTTTCTTTAGAAACTACTTCAAAGACAGTAATTAAAACCCCTTTTTTGCTCATTGTTTTCACACTGGACTTCGAGTTCATAGATCTGAACTAGCATAAAATTAACCTCTGTGACAAATATTGATGGCTTTCTGTGCAGAGATAGGTAATTTTCATGATGCTTTCTC